TTCTATGATTCTATATCAGTATTTCCTAAGATGTCCTCAGCTGACCTTTAAGACATCCACATTGGTGTGTGACCATGTAGTAAGCATTATATGCATAAATATTTCAAAGTAGTGTCTTTCATGCAATCATAAGATTGCTTAGGAAGTTGAGCACAAGATAAAGTAGTTCTGCCACTGATCTACTGCACTTTGAGTTGGTTACTTAAAACTTCTAATGATGTTTTCATCCTGCTATTCAAGATGCTAAGATTTCTGAGGTCCAGTGGGTCTGGCATGTGGTTTGGGTCCCATTTCTTAGATGAAGCTAGTAGATATTCTGACACTGATACATTATCATGATGGGTTTCATTAGCAATTTAAAAAATGTGAAACAGAACAATATATTGTGTTGTTTGTAAGTGGTACTGTAAAATATTGATGCAAATTGGTATTACCCTGGAGTTCTAAATGTTAAGCCACAGTCTTTGACATATTTCTGACCAATAAGAACAGGTTGATAATTGACACAGCTACAGTTCTGAAGTTGAGAACAGTATATTTAAAGATTAAAAATTAAGTCTATGAAAAATCAGAAATTGCCCAATTAACATGGTCAGCAGAAGACCTAGGAATAAATCATATATTCTCTCTTGCCCATCTCCACTTTCCTCAGACTATTATGGGTTAAGATGGAGACTTCTGGCATTATATGTAGCAGCCACTAGACTGCTTGGACTACATTAACATCTCACTTAGAGCGATCTCTACACAACCTTCTGTAGAAAGCTTAATGGAGAAAAATACACCCTTCTTGTGAAGAAAGCCCTCAGAATGTGTCTGTTTGGCTTCTTCAGTGGGTACATTAGAGCAGCTAGTAATTTTTAAAGTACAGCAGCTAAGAGTTGTATTAAAATGTTACACACAATAGCAGTTTATGTTATGTTATTAAAAAATATAGCAAAAATATGTAACGTGTGTTTCTTCTTTTGTATGAAGAAAATCCAGAAAATCAAACTCTTGAGATCTTCTGATGGAAAAAAAGGGAACCAGAAAGTGGTAGAAGCAGCATTCTGGTGCGATAAGGTGGGAGCAGCAGAAGGACTCTCTAATGCCTGGAATGAATAAAATGCATCCTGCAATGTTAAAACTTTTTATCTTTTAAATAAAATCCGAAGATGTAAAATAGGTTCCAATAAATAATGTAACAGTTGCAGAATTCTAATGTTGTAGTGAAATGTTATGAAATATAACTTCAGTTATGTACTCTTAATCTGCTGCAGCTAAAGAGAGGATTTTGTTTTCTTCAATTATGCCTTCATAGTTCAAATTCTTGGATTTAGAATACACATATCCATTACTTAATTAGCTTATTTACAATTTCAGCAACTCTTAGCACCCTTGTTTTATGCAAGAAATAGAAGGAAATGTAATGAATATGCAAAAGTAATCCCACATTTTAAGGAATATTCAAACTTACTTTAAGACCAAAGTCCAGAACAGTTGATCGGTCTATATCATAAACTTTAGTAGCATTATGCTGTGAATTTGAAGGTAACGTTTTTACAAGTGCTAAGTAAAGTTTATAAAAATACTGTGTGAGTTTCAAAGCAATCTAAAAGCAAATGTCTTCAGATGATATAAAAATGTTTTATTTCATAGGTTTTATTGTATAAATACCTGTTTTAATTTTTAGTATTTCAGATTGTATTTTCACTTGAATAATTTATAATGATGAAGCTAGTTTTTAATCAACTGCTATTGCAAGCTATCATACTTCAGTGATGTCATCTGCATTTGTTTGTATTAATGCTAATCTTTCTATCAAAATTCGCCTGTGGGAAAACATGCAATTCTGTTTTAAAGAGTTCTATTTATGCCAATACTAAAGAGAGAGCCTATGAAGCTATTGTCAGCTTCTCTATTTCAGAATGGAAGCAGCGTAAATATATTGATATCAGAAATATGTGGGTTTTAAAGTTTATTGGTGTATGATAAAGGTGATCTGATCTGTGAATGCATATGCGTGTGTGATTACTTTTTATAATGTAAAAATATGAATGATGATTTACTCAAAATAAAATGTAGGACAATGCTGTACATGGATGTTCTTGAAAAAAAAAAGCACTCTCAGGGCATCTTTTATAATTAAAATAAATAAAATCATTCACCTGTAGAAGGTATTTATTTAAAATAATAACAACACTGGATGTATGCTGTCTTGTGTGACATACAAAATGTGTCTTTGGATTTAGCAGTGTTTTTCTGCCTGAATTCTTAAGCTTCTTAGATAGCAGTTGGTTATAGTAGTATTCTCTGTTTAGTCACAGACGTTGTTTGGATCCTGTGAAAACACTCAGGTTTTCTGTTTGTTCTGTTGCCTGGCATAGGATCTTGTAAATCACAGATTTCTTTAAAGCCTTTTTCAAGTATTATGATGCTTAACATTCAGTAGTGGTTCAGATGCACAGATGACCTATACTGGCTCCTCCTAGATTCTGCATTTGTCTCATTAATAAAAGCAGATACTCGCAGTTCCCCAGGGACAACTAACATCCCAGCTACAGCTGCTCACCCATGGGCGGCAGGAGACTGCTCAATCTGTTCAGTCTGACTTTTGCCAGGGACCAAACTCAGATCAGAAGTGGCCAGCTGCAGAACAGGACTCAAAACTGTGTTTAACCCTCCAATACCTTTACTAGAGCAATGCAGACTATCAAGTAAGTTCAGAAACTTCAATCCAATCTATTTCTTCCCTTAATAAGCCTGTGATGAGTTCTAACACAGTGTCTTTTGTTTCTTGTTGGCTGTCATATGTCTGTCACTTCTAACTGATTAATTCATTTAATCATAGAATCATAGAATAGTTAGGGCTGGTAACACATGCTCCACTCAATAACCTTACTGTGTATTAAATTCCTGCTATGTAAGCTTTAATTGCTTCATTTAGACTTTTTTTGGTCTGCACATCTTCCTTGTACAATGCTCCTGACGTCTTCTGTATACCTTCCTAAGCCTGTCACACTACAGACCTCCATCCCAGCAGTCTTTTTTGGGGCTGCTTACTTCTGGGTTACTTCTGTTGGACAGCACCAATACTTCTGAACCCTTTGCAGCATTGACTTACCTGCAACTCAGAATAACAGCTGTAAGTCAACTGTACAGTGCTAAGCAGGTGGCTCTTATATAGAGCAGCATTTCTCCAATTACTCATTCAGAAACAGAAATGAGTGATTCTTTTTTTTCCTAGTACATTCATACTGGAATGTGGAGTTAGGTTAGATGCACTTTTGTATTTTAGTCAGATACCAGTATCTGTCTGTTAAATACTTTGGTGAGTGGCTTGCACCAGTGTCTCAGTAGACCTCTAGTGGTAACTGACATGATTTTTAGAGGTATTTACCAGGTTTACCCTGTAATATATCTTCTGCATCTTCTCTTGCAGATGTCTGTGTGTGTTTATCGATAAACACCTTTGAAGCTTCTATGTCAAATGATCTTTAAAACTCTTCTGCTCCCTTTTGGGCAGCTATTTGTGAAGGCTGTATGAACAAGTAGAGTAATGCTTAGGTCTTTTAGTTAGATATAGCTGGAAGCAGCTTTTCACATTGTTCCATGCTTAATACATAGGGCTGCTGCTATTAAAAATGTACAAAATGTTAAAGATCTTGCTGTTTGGTTGGAATCACTGCACTGCTTGAATAGAGTGAATTGTATCTTAATCATAGAAATATTTTTCTCAAACATTTTTGGTGCTCCCTGTGGATTTTAGGATCAACTCTGTGAACAGATTTATTCCACTTTTATGGAAGTGTGTTTTTTCCTGACAAAGTCTGTTTTAATTCAGGCATAAAGCCCTGTTATGTAGTTCACCCTGACATCTAGACGATAATGCATGCATAAATTCTGGTTTTAGGAGAGGCCCAGCTTGGCGTTATAAAGCAGTCCAGATTCGGATTTTACATGTTCAGAATATCTAAGTGATTTTTCAGAATTATTTTGTCTTTAATAGAAAGAATATTTTAAAAGCAGACACACCACGTACCCGGAGAAAATGAGGTGCTTTAATACTCTGAATAAACACTTTGAAAGAGGTCACACTCCAAGCCACTGCAGACCTCATGATAGACTGAGTGTAATTTCTGCAGTAATAAACCTCTAGGCAGAGGTGGTGAATTCTCTTTTAGGGCTTGATCCTGTTCTATTTTTATAAGTGGCAAAATTCTACTAACACTGAGGTCAGTGGGTTCTTAAGTCTCATTTAAACAGAAGATAATATTGAGGAATATGAAGCCTGCAGTGTTCGGGAATGAGCTTCCTGAATATTTCCCAAGTTCAGTTTCGTGTTTGCCTTTTTTTTTTTTTTTTAATTTCTTTGAGGTTTTTTTATTTGCAGGGTACATTTTACAAGACACATTTTTGTCACTTTGGGCCTTAGTGAATTTAGCTTGTTATTTGGGCATTAATAGGATGACCTATTGCTAGCTGGAGAGACAAAATATGTTTTTATATTTTCATATTTCACTGTCTTTTTACTCTAATGTAAATTAATAAAACAGTGTCTTGGTTTCAGCTGGGATGCAGTTAGTTTTCTTCCTAGTAGCTTGGCTCAGTGCGGTGTTTTGGCTTTAGTCTGAGAATAATGCTGAGAACACACTGATGTATAGCTGCTGCTGAGTAGCACTTACCTTGGTCAATGACTTTTCAGTCTCTCATGGTATGCCAGTGAGGAGGGGCATGAGAAGCAGAGAGGGAGCAGAGACAGGACACTTAACCTAAAGCAGCCAATGGGATGTCATGGCCTGTATATATGGCCACCAGGGAAGGCCAGAAGAGGCTGCTCATGTCAGGCTGAACATTGGTCAGTAGGCCGTGAGCAGAACCCATGGGTTTTACCTTTTTCCAGTTCTCCTCCTCATCACACTAGGAGGATGAAGGGGAGTGAGCAAGCTGCTGCATGGTACATAGTTGTCAGCTGGGGTTAGACCATGAGAAATGGAAATAAAGCCTCTTACATAGCCCAGTAAGCAAAGTGATTTCTTTATTTACATTTCTGTTGGATCAACTAACCTGCCAATGAACAGTAATGTTTTAAAAGTTTCTTCAAAAATCATAAAAAGGAATGGTCGGTCCACTTTGATGACAGGAGGCACTGTGAATGCAGTTATTTCTGAGCCACTAGCTGCTGTGGCTTCAGTTCCTTCTTCATCCACTTCAATTACTGCCTTTTGGACAACCTGAAATGCAATTTAGAAATAAGCTATGTGACAGAGATAAATATTAACATGACAAATGTTTTTGCAAGTTCAAGGCACTCAGTTTAAATAGGCTTTTATTAAGGATTAAAAGGAGTAGGCCTGTGCAATCTAGCTCTGTTTGCTAGACTGGTAGACCCTTGTGCTGTCTACTTTAGCAGCAAAGGGGATAGTACAGCCACCATGACCACAGTACTTAACAGTGTGGATGCTAGTGTGCTTTGCTACATTTCTGAGCATAGAGGTTTTGTTCTTGCAAGTGGTAGCATGAAGAAACCATTGCATTTGTATAGTGCTCGTTTTTGACATCTAACAAGGGAGAGTTTCTCAAAAGTGTGAAGTCTGTTTTCATCAGTCACAAAAACTGACTGGCTGGATATGTAATTCACAGTTGATTTTGTAAGAGCTTAGGCAAATTTGCCAATCATCTTGGCTTTTTTTTCCTCTATATTTTTAATTTCTATATTTCATAGCACAAAGTAAATATGTAAAGCAATGAGGTACAATCCTGGATTGGTCTGAGGATCTTCCCATTGAAACTGTGGCCTGGTAAGGTGTGGTACTTTTCCCATTTTTGTTCTTTCAGCCTGCATGTACCTCTGGGTACTGTCTCTGTATTTGGATCTGTATCAGTGAACTGCTCAGGCAGCTAGTGCATTCCCAACTCCCAGACTCCTAATTCTAAGACTGACTTATGTGAAGGCAGTTGAAGGACTTCATCAGTGTTGAGCTCTCTGCTAAACATTGTTAAATAATGAAGCTGGATACCATCATTCACAGGAACAGGATGCTCCTCTGGCAGTTTGTAGCTGATGAATATATTTGAATTTCAGCAAACCCTTGCTCAAGTGTGATTTTTTTTCATAACTCAATAGAGTTAACTGCTGACAATCAGCATGAAATGGATGTATGATTAAGAGAAAGGGAGAAAAGCACTGCAGATTGCCGTTGTGTTTCACAAAAGTGAGATAGTTTATACCAAACTGAAAATTACTGTGATTTTATCTGTTACATATTTATTGTTAGGATGTTATGTTTTACCAAAAAGGTTATTTTGTTAAACCAGCACAATTTTTAAAAACTCTACTTTAGGGCTTAGTGTTTTTGTAACTTGTATAGAAGTGTTTATCATACTACCTATTAATGGTTTTGGCAAATCACAAAGGCTTCTGTAAGGATTTGGTGTAGGGAGACTTGCAACAGCATCACCAGTAGCTTCGAAGGTTTCTTTCTGATAGAATACAAATACCTGAAGGGAGGGTGTCTCCCTCCCTTCCTCCTTTTCTCCTTCTTTCCCTCCTTCTTTCCTTCCTTCCTGCCTGCTTCCCTCACTTTCTTCCTTCTTTCCTTCATTCTCTTGCTCCCTCCCTCCCTCTGGCTTTTCCAATCTGACTGTCATTTTCAATGTCTTTCTTGCTCTTGTTTTTGTTTAATTATACTAATTCCTTGCCAACCATATTCTTCTTCAGGCAGAGCTTTCCTCCTTTGATGGGTTAACTTTGTGTTGAACACATATTAAATACAACTGCCACTTATGTACACCTCATGCTTGAAGCGAGATCCATACTTGTTAAGGTGTGTGGATTGCATATATTTGGCAGATGAGCTCCTTTCCTGTTAGTGCACCTGTAAGCGTATATGACAGTCACTTGCCTGGGCCATTTATGTACTATGATAATCCAAGTAGCAAATAATTTTGGAAGACTTACCTGTGAAACTGCTACATATTCTTGATCTGTGAGGTGACTGAGATCTGCTGAACGTGTAAAGAGATTTTTAATTCCAAGAGCATAAAGTAGCTTCTTCATTTTGTATTTTTGCTCCAGTTTGAACTTTGGAAATGAAATATCCATTTTCCTGTTTGGAAAAAAAACCCAAGAAAGTTCCTTGTTATGCTTTGTTGCTTTGTTGTAATAGACATAAAAGATATTATGGCCCTTGAGTTTTGAAGCAATACCTGGGTTTCATGTTTCTCAGCCAGGATTCCACAAGCTCTGTAGTCAAATGGTCTTCAAGTGAAATGTAATCTCCCTCCTTTTCTGGGATGACAATCAGCATGTGGGCTTTCCCTCTGTAGGGTATCTTTATCACAGTGCATCTTAAGTTCTCATCAAAAGTTGAATTAATTTTATCTGACTTGAACATCATGGGTACCTGTACACTTCTATATTTGTTTATGTGGAAAGTCTCAATTTCTGTGAATTTGGAATTAAATGGGTATAGCCACTTGCCTAGGGAAAGAAAACAAAATAATAATTCTGTGCATTCAGGCTTGCTCAGAAAAATGTTCAGGAACACTCAAAAAAACATAGAGGATATTTTCTCTATCTGTCTAGTTGAAGTGGATGTCAGTTGTGTCTGGGATAAGTGGATAATAATTGCAGTATATTTAGCGTATGTGCTTTAATATTTATTTTTTTTTACAGCAGAAAAAGTAATAATGCACCAAATAAACTCCTTAATTTGCAGGAAAAGAGAAATCTTTTCCTAACATTGATTAGTTGCTACTCAAGTTCAGAACTGATAGCATGTTTGTCTATTAAATGCCATATGATCATCCCTCTTTAATTAACGTATCACCTTCTCCAAAATTCTCCACTAGCTGTTCAACATCCTGTCATTAAATTAATTAGGCAATATTTTGGATGGGGATTCAGCAGTACACTGACTTGTAAGGTGCATGGGAATGTGACCTCTTCTAAACTAATGATTCTGATCTCTGCTGTTTCTTTCAAATGTAGCCACAGTCATCTATCTCTTTTCTCTGACTTTCTGCCAGGGAAAGTAACCTTGGCATTGGACAAACTGCACTTTTGTAAATGCAAAAGATTAAACTTAGTCCATAAGGAGGTTGTATGGTAATTTTCTTTGTTCTTATGTGTGTATTTATTTTAGTGGGGTTTTCATGGATGGCGTCTGCTGAGTACTTTGGCCTGGAGTAGTGGCTGTGAATGTGGGTTCTCTGCAGACCATTCCTCTTGTCCCCTTTGTCACCCTAACTCTTTCTCTTTGCTTTTTACTAACTGGGTATCTCTGGCTTCTGTATGGCTGTTTCAGAGTAAAGGGTGGGCTCCCTGTCATTACCAGGACCTCCTTTTGGAGTCCTTTATCTATCTTCTAAGCCAGTGGTCAGAAAAAAAACAACAATGGAAAAAGGAGCATAAGATATCTGGCAGTAGACGTCTTCTCCACAGAACAGTCTCTGCCCTCTACAGGTATTTCTTTCCCTTGTCCTGTAAGGTAATATAATGGGGTACTTTGGTTCATCTGGGGAAAAAGATTCTCGACTGAAATAGAGATTTTTTTTTCATTATTTTGTGTACTATGTACAGTCAGTCAATTATTTTATACCCAGTATCCAGCATTCAAAAGACTATCATGATTAAGACTTTTTCATTTTAAGTGGAGATGGATTGAAATGTTTGTTGCAGGGCTTTTTGTTCTCTTTCAGACTGTTGTATGAAAGAAAGCATAGAAGAACTATAGTTCCCTATCATGAAAAATCATTTCCTATTGAATAAATGTAACAGAAGAAATTAAATTTAGAGAAAGACATAGAGAAAACAGGACACCTAAATTATTTTAAACTTCATCTAATGTAGCTGAAGTTAAGAGTCCTGATTCTTTCATTAAATAATTATTTTGCAAAATAAAAACAACAGTTACCTTTAAAGACAACATAGTCCACAAGTAGCAGTTTATTATGGTGGTTAAACTCTTCAAAAAGCTCTGGGATTTTTCCTTTGGTCCTTTTGTTAATGTTTTGATTTATGACAAATTTTGCCTGTGTAAAGTTTTCAAAGTCCACTCTCAGAAATTCCATATCAAAGTACTGCTTGGATAAATTGAGGAAAGACTCCTTGAGTCTGAAGTCCTTTTGGATAAAAGAAAGAGTACCTTGCGCAAGTAGAAGTTCTTCATTCATTGTGATGTTATCTTTCAGTTGTTTAAACAAAGCTGGTAAATGATAGCGATCCACTTCGTCCTTCAAAGCATGGAGGTTTAGACCTTTTATTATTTGTCTGTATGTTTCCCCTTTGGCTGCAAGCATATACGCAGTCATGAGAGCTGATACAGAAAGCGGAGAGATGATGACATTGTTATCATGTGTCATTGCAATTTTTCTATATAGGTTAAATCCAAAATTTGCAGTCTTTTCAGTGAAGTTGTAAAGAGTGAGTTCAAGACTTTGGTCTTCAAAAGGCTTAGAGGTATTTTTGTGATGATGCCACTCTTCAGAAATAGTGACATTTTTATTTCTTTCCAAGAAATTACTCTCTTTCTCCTTCTGTGGAATGTTAGGTTTGATGCCAGCCTCAATGATTTCAACACATATTTCACTTAAGAGAAGTAGATAAAATCCTGCTTTCATGTTGACATTCAGTAATCAGCTCTTTCCTTTTCCTAGTAAGAAAAAAAAAAAGGCACCACAATGACTTTTTAGTTCTATTCAAAATGCAAAAAATCATGGATGTGGCAAGGTAGACTTCCTGCATCTTCAGTGTATTACCTAAGATCTAGTTCTCATCTGAAAGTTCAAATTTAGATTAGTGAAAGAGAGAACTTTCCAACATCATGAAGTGAATCCAGAGATATATCATGATCTTTTGGTATTGGTGGTTCACATAAGAAGTATGTCACTGATTTTTCACTTGCCAACCTGCAATTCCTTTACAAAATGATACCCAGATTTCAAATTAGATTTTTGTCATCTATAAGTACAGGAATTCTAGGCAGCATGGGGTGAAATTACATGCTTGCCTTTCATTATTTCATTTCACTTTTCATCCTTCTGCTACAGGTTATTTATTACTCCCTTCAGATCATTCTCCTGATCACATGCCAAAGGATTCCCTGTTCTTTCGTCCTTTACTGTCCAGCAAATTCTGAGGCAGGTTTGTCAATACCAGCTCTGAAAATACCAAGTTTCAGTGTCAAATAGCACAAGGATAAAACAGTTGTTCTGTGCTTAAAATTACAATTTTTTACACAAATTTTGATTTCTGAGGGAAGTTAATACAGGGTCTCATCTTAACAAAATGTTTGAAGAGGACTTTACACATCTTACAGGAGGCCTCATAAAAACTTTGGCTTCATAGAATCCCAGAATGGTTTGGGTTGGAAAGGACCATAAGATCATCCAGTTCCAACCCCCCTGCCATACACAGGGACACCTCCCACTAGACCAGGTTGCTCAAGGCCTCATCCAGCCTGGCCTTGAGACATTGCATGTGTAAATTTGCACACACACACACACACACACACACACTTTTCAAGCACAAAATGCAAATAAGCTTATAATTCATCTTTCCATCAAAGCAACATATGAACTTCTCTCCCGCAGAACAGTGTTGAATTGCAACTTATGGAAAAATTTTGAATGGCCATAATCTTTGAAAATGCATTTTCCCATTCTGAATTGGATGTTCAAACTGTACATTGTAAATGGATGCTCAAGACCACCAAGCCTGCACAGAATCTTTTTGTCTAGCAGTGGCATGCAAATGGATAAATGAGATGAAAAGATGGATTATACAGCCATCATTAAAGTAGTAAGTGTTTCAATAATCTAGAAAACACATGGCAACTATTAACTACTCCTTTTACGTTAAGGACCTGTAAGAGCAAATTACAGTCATTGTATGATTTGTGACTTGGCATATGGGAAACTTGGTTTTGATTGCTGTTTATTCTGAGTTCAGCTGAATTTCACAGTTGCCTGATTCAGGCTGTGGAAGTTTGTCCTGAAAAGGTATGTTGATGTGAGCCCTAAGACATTTGGGTGCCAAGTCACAGGGTGCTTTTGGCAGTCAGGAGGTGTGCTATTTTCTTTGGAGATAATAGGTCACGTTCTGTACTTGGTGCAGCACAGATGGGCTGTAATGACTTAATTGGGAGGCACTGAAATCTCTGAATGTTATGCCTCCTCTTGAGTGCATGGCAGGAAACAGAGTAAAATATGCAGCGTTCTGTGGTTGTGAATGTTTTTTGTTTTATTTTTTTTTTCTTTCCCATTAATTCCTGCTTGATTTTCAGTGAGGTTCCCAGTACCTGGATTTGCAGGACTGGAACAGAGAAGGGGATGACTTTAGCTGCTGCCCTGCTGGCCAAACAGTGCATGCGACTTCTGCATGGTTGGGATATTTACTCTCCCAGCTGCAAGAAGTGCTGTTAAGTTAGTACAGTAGTTGCTAGCCATTTCTGCTCCTTATGTAGTGACCCACTTCTGTGGGAAGTAGCACAGGCACTGAGGTACTGTTCCTGCCTGCCTGGCAGCGAAGTAGTCCTTTCCCCTGGGAGCCATCCCTACTTCAAAGAGGTATCCTTCCACATTGCAGAGTCAGCTCTATCAAAGAGTCAGGGATTGCAAATTTTTGCTTCTGATCACATTCAATCATGGAGGAAAGGTTTTCTGCAACAGCAGCAGTGTGTCTACAAGAGCATCAGGCCTATCTGTTCACAAGACATTGCAGAGTACCAGCTATTCATTGCCTTTTCTGTGCATGGTGCAATACCCATGCTACATCCTGACAGCGTCATGTTTGGCAGACGTCACTGTTGCGTCTCTCTCTGAGAGGTCTGGGACAGTACACAGCTCTGGCAGGTCACCAAATGCCCCCATGAGATGTGAAGGGACTTAATCGAGAAAGCAGTGAGCTGCCTTTCAGAGGACTCTGCTTTCATAAAACAAATAGGTTTCATGCTGACAGGATGGGACAAATGCAGAAGCCCTTGTTTACAGGCACATCCTAGACCATTCAGCACATAGAAGAGTCCTGCATCCTCAGGTATACACAAGTGCTGCTGATTTGGGTCTTATGAATATCACAGGAATAAGAACCTCACAATTGCACTAAGCATTCAGTGCAAAACTGAGATTAGGAAAAATTAAAGTTAACATTACAACAGCTTTATCATTTACCATTTACCTTTTGTAACTGTTAGAAATAAAGCATGTCCCTTAGAAATAAAGCATGTCCCTTAGGCCTAGGAAACACAGTTCTGAAAACAAAAAAGTGATATATATTTCACATTATAGACTTGAATTTTTAGACCTGAGAGAAGCTAATTTTAGAGAACTCACTTTATGCATAATGTAGACAATTCATTAGTAAACATATTAAATATTAGAGCAAAGTGAACATTCTTTCCATTTTAAGAAATACTTGTTTCTAGTAGTCTCAGATATCAAGAAGATTCTTGCTCAAATGTGTTTTTCTTTTGAAAGCGCTAGAGCAAGAGGAAAAAATATATTAAAATGCTGATTGAGATCTAGAACCATTTAAAGCATCACATCTAGAGAACAGGTGATAAATATATAAAATTATGTATATATACACAAATATAATAATCCATCCCTTTACAATTTAAATGCTTAATATAAATCTTGTCTTACCTATTAGGTAGCTGCCCTGTAACTTTTCTCATCGACTACGTTTAAAAACAAGATGAAGGTATCTGTCCCATATAGAAGATTTTCAACAAATATTTGCTCTTCCAAACCAGTGATAATCTGGCTTTTTCTGTTACAAATTAACTGCTTTATAAACACTAAGTATTGTGTTTCCCATAAATGGCACAATGAGCAAGGGTTATATTCCAGTAAATACGTTGTATCTTTCATGAGAAACAGAACAGTACACTCTTTGCATCCAGGCCCTCGGCACCCTGGTAGGATTTGGCCTTGCACATCTGATCACCCATGAGAATTGTTTTGCAGACAAGCTCTGAGCTGCTCTGTTGTGGAAGCAGTATCCAATCCTGCTTAAAATACCCCTTTTTGTAAAATAATAGGTCACTATTCCCCATGGCAGGGGAGAACACAAGGGAGGGAAGGAAAAGGTACAGAACATTTCTAGGGGTGCTGTCACCTCTTTTGCTCAGCAATTCGGCCATTTCTTTAGAGGAAAGATCAGGGCCCCACTCCCTGTTTCAAGAACACCCCAGCTATTCAGTAACATATCAGTATGCCAAAATTAACCAACTGATAAGTGCTGAGCGATGTTTCTGTCAAAAAAGACAAACTGTGGGAAGCTGATATTCCTGCAAAAGTTGTACAGAGCAATGGGAGGTAAGAGTAAACTTTTTGAATTTTCAGTTGGTCTTGCTTGGACAGATATGGGAGGCTGGTTTTGGGTCTTGAGCACCATTAGTTGGGAATGCACATTTGTTAAGACAGTTTACTCAGCAATTTCTGTAGTGTGTGTGCATGATCTAAACTCCTCACTATTTCGGTAATTGGCCTAATTCCAAATAAAATATAAACATGGAACTCCCTACGTTCCCATCGTGCTCTTAAATCACTTTTTAATTTAAAATACCAAATGAAACACGACATTTCATTCTAATTTGGATTGTAAAAGAAAAAGTGTTTGGCCTTAAAATTTAGGATAAGGGAACAAGTCTCTGTTTTTCAACTGCACTGGAAAAAATAAATAAATTATTCAGTCTAAATGGAAAAGTTTTGAGAGGAAAGGATGGCGTTTTAAAAAGCCCATAAAGTATTTGTGTATCCAGCACTCAATGCAAAAAGGCTTTTGTTTGTTGATGAGTATCAACTCCCCCATGGCAGGGGGGTTGGAACTAGATGATCTTAAGGTCCTTTTCAACCCTAACTGTTCTATGATACTATGATTACTTCTATGAAAGTGACAACACTGTTTGCTTACAAAGTGCAAGATTTGAATAGGAAGTGCTTAAGACTTGAACATTGTCCCTCTGTGGTCTGACCAGGTTTGTATCTACCATCGCAAATACACATTACTGGAGGGCACTTATGGGTTTTGTACTCTTAAGAAGTTCAGCACTGGGGACATGAAAGATCACAGGATCTAGGTACCTAAATTCTTCCTTGGTTTAAATTCTTTTGAAATATTCTTCCTTTTAGAAAAAATCTTGGTCATGATAATCCCAAGTATAGGTGTTGTATTGAAGAACACATAAACATAAGACAGACTTACTGAATGAAGGCCCTGTCCTAACATTATGGAGTATATTCCCTAAACATAAAAAGCCCCACTGTGAATGCCCCAGAACTTCAGTTCTCTGTCCAGAAGACTATACTAGACTATATTTAGTTGTGGTTAATTCAGTTGGAGTTAAAATTCCAATGTTTTCTCATTATATGGAAGAAATTCGTATCTGATGTTGTTGAACAAAACTGCATTACTAAGATGTGCTTCTCAATCTGTGCATCTTCTGGAGACCGTGGTACTGTGGTTGTGGCCCAAGAAGGCAGCACAAGGAAAACCTGATGTACACAAAACCCATACCCATCTTTTGTGCTCAGCAAAATTAGCAATGTTATTTTCAATTACAATAGCATTCAAACCTCTTCCTAGCAATCAAACCTCTTTCTAGCCCTAGCATCACGACTATGACACGCAGGTCACCACTGGAAGCCCTGCCTGAGTTAAGATCCAACAATATTAATATTTGATTAATATCAAAAAGTCTTGTTTATAAATACAGTGAAAATAAAGGTTTGAAGAAATCTTTAAGAAGTCTTTGAATCTCTCTGTTAAATCTTTTCTGGACTACAAAACCATCTAAAAAGTACATCAATCCTATTTTACCTGGCAGAAAAAGAAGGCTGCTATGATTAATGTTGTCTGTGTACAGAGATCTAAGGGAATTGTCTTTCTCTGTATTTACTCATGAAGTCCTTGCTCATTTTTTATGCTGGGTAACACCTTGCTGAGAGTATCCTCCACACACTATTAAGAGTAACGTATTCCACCAACTACTGTTTATATTGTCAGTCGCCCCTTGGATTCAGCTTTCGGAGCAGTAGAACACCACACAGCATATGGGTAACACTCTGCTAAACTATACATATTTGCAGAGTGATTTACTGGGAGAGGAATGCCAGTGTGTCACACTGGCAGAATTTAAGACAAAACCACCTCTGAGACCAGAACAAGGAAGGGCAATACAGGTGTATTGCTGTCCAGTTGCATCTCTGCTGGGCACCTGTGCCAGCACAGTGCTAAGGCTGGGCAATAGGCAACTGGTATGTCAGGATTTGAGCTAAACACTGTCTGTTCTCTAACAGACAAAGGGTTTTGTATGCATATACAACTCTGAAAACTTGGCAGTGATTATGTAGTCCGGGTTCTCAGCAATCTGTTAAAAGGCCCTGAGACTCTTGAGTACCTGGGGGGGGGTGGGGGGGTGGGAATGTTGCAGAATCAGGATCAGCTGCTTGTTCCAAATATTCAGAGGATTTGTGTTACAAGCCCCTTTCCTCCTTTTGCAGTTCTTGTGAGGCTGGCAACACCTCTGCTTCAGTGAGTGTTTTTCCTCTTACTTATTTTCCTCAGTCTCATTCAGGAAACCTTCAATGACTGTGGAGCAATCAGTCATCTTAATAACTGGTTTGTTTTGGGCTCAGGTTCTTTGTGCTCTCTGTAATTCCTTCCAATAACAAGCTCCTCAGTAAAGCAATAGACCTTGCTTAATGCTTCCATTTTACGTGCTGTGTGCCATTTTAGCAATGCTTGTAACTTGACCACAGCTGAGATTCAAAGTAGTCTATGAGGTATGATGGGCATGATTGCAGAACTAAGAAATCAGGTTCCAGGAAGGAAACTGGTGGGTTAAATAAGTGTACAAGGCTCCCAGTAAGAGCTTTTTTAGGAACTGAGTTTCTTGTCTGGCTCAAACAAGGCAATAACCAAAAGATACATTTCACTCAAGGCCCTGTGAATTTCTGTTCCTTGCTAATGGCTACCCATTTGGTTTCTCAAGGGCAGACACAGGATATTTACACCTGTCTTGATGGAGCTAGTTGAGATCAGTCAGAAATACTGTCCAGGCTGGAATCTGCTGAGAAAAAGAAACATTAAGGTAAAAAGTGTTGATTTGGAACATTTTTGCATTGAATGTAATCTAACCTCTTCCACGTTTCTTAGACTAAACAAAATACCAGTGTACCAGGAGTAGTGCAGGAGATGAGCATGACCAGCAGGTCGAAGGAGGTGATCCTGCCCCTTTACTCTGCTCTCGTGAGACCTCACTTGGAGTACTGTGTGCTGTTCTGGTGTCCTCAACATAAAAGGACATGGAACTGTTGGAACAAGTCCAGAGGAGGGCCACGAGGATGATCAGGGGACTGGAGCACCTCCCATATGAAGATAGGCTGAGAAAGTTGGGGCTGTTCAGCCTGGAGAAGAGAAGGCTGCGTGGAGACCTCATAGCAGCCTTCCAGTATCTGAAGGGGGCCTATAGGGATGCTGGGGATGGACTCTTCATTAGGGACTGTAGTGGTAGGACAAGGGGTAATGGGTTAAAACTTAAACAGGGGAAGTTTAGATTGGATATAAGGAGGAAATTCTTTCCTGTTAGGGTGGTGAGGCACTGGAATGGGTTGCCCAGGGAGGTTGTGAATGCTCCATCCCTGGTGGTGTTCAAGGCCAGGTTGGATGAGGGCTTGGGTAATATGGTTTAGAGCGAGGTGTCCCTGCCCCTGGCAGGGGGGTTGGAACTTGATGATCTTAAGGTCCTTTTCGACCCTAACTATTCTATGATTCTATGAATATCAAGGATGTGTATTTATTCTGAAGTTTCACTGTGAAATTACTCATAAGACATAAACTAACATGCTCTAACAGTTCTAAACCAGCTCTTTATATAGTCTCTTGAATATACTTAGTTTGTTAACGAGATGATTCATCAAGGTGGCTGCTGCTTCTCCCACTCGAAGACTGCACATTATAATTGAAATCAGCAGGATGCAAACACTCTCATGGCTCCACACTGTTTGTAACTCTGACCCTTTTTGCAAAGAACTAGGACTATGTAATTGTTCATATGGGAGGATTTGTGTAGTAAAAGTATCTTTGGAAGGTATGTATTCCTGTGTCTTACTGGGTTTGGAAGGGTGTGTTACTGTACAAGATGGACAAGGTGGTAAAGCTGTAGTATTTCATAATGCATGGCTGAAATACCCCTTCATATTTTCAAATTCAGAGTCAAGCACTGTCTAATTGTCCTTGAACACACAAATATAATTCTAATTGTCTGCTAATAGGACATTTTACTATAGAAGCTTTTATAGGGAATGCAAAAATGATGAAAAACTGTATAATAACAGGTAAAACAATCATGCCTGGGGTATGATGGAAGTAGCATGAATCCTACTTTATTCCACAGGATGGAGTAAATGATCTTATAAAATCACTCCCAGCCTTGTTTCCTGTGATTCTCTAACTCAGAGCAAAGGAACGTTTTCATTCTCAATAATTCATTTGGCCTGCGTTTTCATATACAAGAATCCAAGAACTGCAGCAGGGGCTTGGTGTTGGCCTAGTCCCTGTGGAGCCAGCAGGTGTCATCAGAACCTTTATTTCTCTGTTGGGAAGAAGAATAATTTTGTGTGCTTGGACATCTGCCCTTCTTTGTGCCTTACTAAGGTTGTATCGCAGGGCAGGACTTGAGCAGACAGGGCACAAACTTAAAAAAGGCCCTGGAAGATATTTCTGTTCTCTTGGGAGGGCATCTTACAGTTTCTCCAGTAGATGTGAAATGCAAGTGCATTCCTATTTTAAAT